TGGGAAATGCTTGTCCCACATCGAAAAAGTAGTAAAGCAACCTTGAGTATATATATGTCTAGTATGGGATTTGGGTTTGGGCCCAAGGGCACCCAAGTTTTTAAGAGGGGGAGGACCTAGGCTAGATTGGATCCGAACCAACTACCACGCGCGCGCCGCCCGCCCGATCCGGGCTTGGGCGGGGCGGGGCTTAATTGTAAAATGGGTCTAACCTTTTTACACAAAGTTGGACTGGGCCTGTGTGGTTGAAATTTATTTTATTTGTCTACTGGACTTATTTAAGTGGGCTTGCGGGTGGAGCACGCTGGGCTGGGCTGAATTAATGGCCGAAGTTTGCTTGCTAGGCTGGATCGGATTAATCTGTTTTGGGTTTAAATTCAAATTAAAAACCATAAAACAGTTTTTGTTTGAACCAAGGGTTGCACCTTTTGAACCTAAATCAGTTTTGGCTTTCTAATGTCTCATTGGTCCACAATGGTTGCATCCATTCGGAATATGGGTGCACCCATTTGGAATAGGCACCATTAAGCCTATAAATAGCCCTCCTTGGATTCATTTCAATATACTAAATTCAGAAAAAAAATCTTCTCTCTTCTGAATTTACTTATCCCTCTTTTTCTTTTATAATCTGTTTGGGTTCAACCCTAACTAATTGGGTTCGAACCTTAGTCACTCACTTCGAGTCCGAATCCGAGTCTGAGAGTACTTCACCGAGCCGGTTCGCCTATTCCATTGGTTTGAAGTGCTACTACCAAAGGAAGAAAAGTCGTTGTATCCTGGGAGATAAACGCCGAAGAGTCCGTTAGCACCGTAGTGGGGCGTATCTGTCTTAAGGCTATAGAATTAAATTCTAGCCTCGACTTTAACAGGTTCTTTTATTTTATAGTTTTATTTTCTTGATATTAAACTATATAAATATATATATAGATTATTATAATAAATATTATATTTACAAATAATATTTAAATAAATTATACTATAGTATATGATACATATTTGATCAACAGGATACTTTCATTGTCATTGTTAAGGGAGGTCTTTGTAAATTTCCCTCAATTATCCTTATATTTTTAAATAAATTCTCAAGGGCTTTGTGATCCAATAGTATCTTTGAACTCCTGATCTTTCTTTAGAAAGTAAGAGGCTGATACGGCTAGGTCACTGGCCTGTTAGTATCTCTTCTATCATTAAAAGTGAGTGTATGAGTGATGTGTGTGAGTTTCGTATCAATTGTGCTGCTTCATGGCTGTGATTGGCTAGAAAGTCGTCTTTGTGAGTTTTTTTTTAATTAATTTTTTAAACCTACCAAGTATCATTTGACGACTATTAATTAACCCTTTATTTTTAAATAAATCCTTTTTTTTAACAAATCTACAATTAGCCCCATCAATTTAAATCACAATCATTTAGATATCAAATTTGAAATTTAAAGTGGCACTAGTTATAATTTGTTTTTTCTTATGAAGATGAGGGTATATTTAAAAGAGAATCCTAGTCAATTTAAAACTATGATTTAAAAATCTAATTTACAATGACACTAGCCGTTTAATTTTTTAAAGATGAGGGTGTATTTAAAATGTGAAGTAATAATGATATTCTAGGTTTAGAAAACAAAAATAAATTAATAAATACCCCCACCAAAAAAAAAAATGGCAAGATTGATTGACTTTCTAGTTAATCATTGAACAATACTTGGGTCTAATCCAGGTTAAATGACTGCTAATGTGGGTCAATAGACCTAAAACAAGTGTTCAAAAGTAAAAGTTAGTATTTAAAACACATGTTCAAAAGTAAAAGTTAGGCAATGCCCAATTTAATTTTATATTTAATTTTAACACTTGTCGTAGAGCTAATTTGGCACAATCATTAGAACTTCTTACAATCTTACTGTACAAATAGCAGTATTCATTATTAAAGAAAATTTGGATCAACAAAATAGTGGACTCTTTGATTAGGTAAGTACTCACACACACATTTTTAACTCAGGTCAGGCCTTGAATTCATTATTGGCTAGAAAAGTTAATCACAGTTGTCACGTGTTTGTGAATTATTTATTTATTTATTTGCAAGTGAGTTTTTTTATTCGATTTTTAAACATATAAAGTGTTGTATGATAATCTATTAATTATTCCTTCATTTTTAAATAAATTTTCATTTTTAAAAAATTTACAATTACGCCATCAATTTAAATCACAATCATTTACCAAGGAAAGTGAACTTGTCATACGAAGAAAAAGGTGTACCTTTGAAATTTTTGAACGACTTTTGACCAAGGAATGATTGATATTAAATTTAAATTTCCATGAAGTTTGAATTTTTGTGAATTGAATTGGTATAATTGTATTGTTCTTGAATTTATTGTGGATTGAAAATATATATATATATATATATATATATATATATATATTTGTTATTGATTAAGTAGATAAAATATCTAAGATAGTTATATGGGACCCAGCATGTATCACTGAATTCAATGTCAACTTCAGGATGTAAATGCTTGTGGACATGCTGGATATAGTGCTTTGATAAATAAATAATCCGAATTTCAATTAAAAGGCGCACAAAATGTCTTGCACTCCTATGTTATTTAATATCCAACTACTCTATTGGACTTTTGGAATCAGTTCTTAATTCGAAGGAGGATAGATTCTGATATATCTGAACCCTTCTCGGTAAAATGAACATAAGATTAGGACAGAATAGTATTTTCCAAACGTTGGATAGACATAAGATCAATGTTGTCAGCCTCGTGTCCTTTAATTGCAATGTTGGTAAAACTGCAGTATTATCAGTTCTCTTGGTACACTAAAAGGATGCAATAGGTTTCAAGCATTTTTTCATATTTAGTCAAGCAATTCTCTTTCACAATTTTTTTTTTTTTTTTTCTATAATGTTTTAGGTAGGAAAAATGTAAGAATTTCACACTTAATCTGGTTCATAAAAGTGATAAAATTATTTAATCTAATAAGATGTCTCACCTTGAGGTTATGCAATACGAATATGAAGAAAAGAAGACTGCAAACTAAATCAATGATGTGCTGATCAAACTACTCCATAACACAGACCGAAATTGAAAATTCGACATTTCCTGAGAAGTTAAAAAGGAGGTATCTCTTTTCTAAAAGAATAGATAAGAAGAAAAGAAAGAAAGAAGTACAAGAGCACATTATTAATAACTTGTAGCTGCAATTCGTAGAATGGAATGTGCAGTCTTCTGTTTCTAGCAATGATGCATCAGTCTTGTGTAATTGTCTCACACAAAATAAATAAATCAATTGAACTTCAAAAGAAAGAAAGAGAGAGAGAGAGAGCGAAAATGAACAAGAAGAGAGAAGAATAAGACGGAGTTTTAAGGCGATCAACGAATTCATAACATAAATGATGGATATAGCTTGAATTTCACTGTTATGGTTGAATATAAACATATGGGTGATTTAATTCTGGGTTGTTGTAATTGAACATTATTTATTAAGTGAGTTTCATCATAAATTGTCCACAGATTGCATTAGCACAAAACAAGGGAACATGAATCATGCGAATGCTAACGTCCTAACTAATGGAACACCATGTGAATGAGCACTAAAATTGTCAAACGACGGAAAAATGAAGGCAATTTAAGGATTATTGTTATCATTAGCAAACTTTAGAGTTTAAGTGCACCACATGAATAAAAGTAATAAGGAAATGTCGCTGAGCATACTTATGAAGATTCGAGCCACAAAACAATATTCCGGTCCTCGACTAACAATTGTTGGGTTTGGATACACTTCTCTAGCCTTTGCCGGATGGGCTCAATGTTGCGAAATTAAACAGAATTTTATATAAAGGGTGTCTTTGTCCCAAAATAAGGTAAGTTATATCTGTGTGTCCTTTTTGTAAACTTTAAGGACTGTTGCTGTACTTTAACCTTTATTTATTTATTGTTTTTAAAGTGTAAAATTCAACCTAACAAGGCTAACGTTTTATAATGGGGTGTAATGCAAATAAAGGTAATAGGAATTGAGCCACACAACTACGTGAAACTTTTCAAATAATTGATGGCTAGTCTCCACAAGTAGCCTCACAACCACGTAGAACTCTTTTAAATAATTTATGGCTATTCCCCACAACCACAAGTGGCCTCACAATCACGTGAAACCCTTCAAATAATTGATGGCTAGTCTCCACAAGTGGCCTCACAACTACGTAAAACTCTTCAAATAATTAATGGTTATTCCCCATAACCACAAGTGGCCTCACTGCCACGTGAAACTCTTCAAATAATTGATGGCTAGTCTCCACAAGTGGCCTCACAACCACGTAAAACTCGTCAAATAATTAATAGTTATTCCCCACAACCACAAGTGGCCTCACAACTACGTGAAACTCTTCAAATAATTGATGACTAGTCTCCACAAGTGGCCTCACAACCACGTAAAACTCTTCAAATAATTAATAACTATTCCCTACAACCACAAGTGGCCTCACACCCACGTGAAACTCTTCAAATAATTGAAGGCTAGTCTCCACAAGTGGCTTCACAACCACGTAAAACTCTTCAAATAATTGATGGCTAATCCCCGTAAATATCACAGGAACTTCAGTTTTTTTTTTTTTTTTTTTTTTTTTTTTTTTTCTGCTGATGTAAGGGAGATGTGCATGGCCTTTTAAAAAGAAAAACAAAAAACAAAACAAAACAAAATCCCAGTCTGTGCAGTGCACTTTACCATTAAATTTTCAACATTTCTCCAATATTTTTAATTAAGGAGCTCAGTATGCTGTATGTTGCTGGGTTGGATTCCATAGACATGCAGATGTGCTGCTGTCAGTGCTGATGGGGGTACTTAAGTAATTCAGATGATGTGCTGATGGAGGTAATTAGGTAATTTGACGTATTTTTGCAAGTCGAGAGATTCTAAATCATTTTACATGGTGCGAGACCTATGCTAATGGTGTCAGGAGAAAGTACCCGAAGGAGTGTGTTGATAACAATTGCCCTAGTTTGTTTCCAACTGATATTAGGGCAAACACAAGGGGTGTGTCACTAGAATTTACCCACACTATAAAATTTTGTTTATATATCTATGACAATTACATAACTTTAATTAATTTAAGCTATTCAAATATAAAAAAATATACCAACAGGCCAGTATAAGAGGGGTTGTCAAGTGTTCCAAATGTGATGACCAAATTATGAACATATCCGCAAGTATGAATGCGTCCAATAGTGTCCATGTCCGACCCGGACACCACACACCGTACGTGCTTTTTAACAGGCAATACAGAGTCTTCTTCCACGCTCGTATCATCTGCCTGTGTCCATGTCCATAAGTATGAATGTGTCCAATAGTGTCCATGTCCGACCCAGACACTGCACATTGTACGTGCTTTTTAACAAACGCCATACATAGTCTTCTTCCACGCTCGTATCATCTGCCTGACGCAACCTTCGGGTGACATCAAACCAGTATTTTACATTTTCACAACCTTCAGGGGACATCAAGCCAGTATTTAACGAAAATGTCAATAGATATTCGTCTATAAGAAACAAGAAGTTAAATATTTGCATCTGATGGAGGGAGAGGCTGGCTTTCCCTTCAGCTGATTTATTCACTTTGTAAATCATTACCCCTCTTGTCAATAAGCATGGTGAGCATTTGATACATTATTGAAATGGGGATATTAAGGATTGCCGAATAGTCACCCAAAATTTCATTAGCCACAATAGTCAAAACCACAACTTGAAGATGTAACTTCTCTTCTAAACTTGTGGAGATTTGATTCCACAGTTCTGGTTCAAGATCCATCTAAGCAAGAACCATAATTTCAATACATAATATTTATGCTTTGCAAGATATGAATAGAGAGTAATTCCAGTCAAGCTAGTAGGATTGCACCAAAGGAATGCAGCTTGAATTCACTTGCTCTTTTTAGATTCTCTTGAATAATCATTTATCAGTCCCTCAACATCTTTCCAGAACAGGCCCTCCACCAAAACTCCATCCTTCGTGAACCTGCACGAAGAATATTCGTGCCAGTCAATTAAGAGAGAACAAAATTAATGCAATTAGAAACTCTGAATGCAATATAACACATGAGAGAGAGAGAGAGAGAGAGAGACCACTTAGTGATGCTTTTGGTGAATTCTACTGGTTCCTTTGCTGATATTGACTTGGGATCTGCACTTGCTATAGTAAGTGTGTACACATCAGAAAATCTCGGCAACTTGGAAGAGACCATCAGGCCGGTGCTGTTAAAGGATCCCTGTACAAAAAAATGACAGATAATAGAAGAAATAATGAAACCAGTTACTGGCAAACCAATATCTCCAAAATTAACTTAAGGTCAAATGTCCATATGCAAGACAAAGTTAGGCAGTCATTTAAACCATAACAAGTAACGAAATAAATGTAACTAAGATGGAAAACAGTACAAGTTGATAACAAGTTTAATATGCTTCCACCCAAAAAAAGAACAGAAGTACAAGATGTACAATGTTTTTTTACATCCATGTCAATAACTATATTTTAAATTTTGGCCATCAATTAATCAGAAATTACAATCCTAAAAATTCTAATGAATCGTGCCAATTTTGGTTCCTCGTATCATCCAGCAGTTACCTGCACCATACACTAAAAGTTGCTGCCCCAAACATCAGACAGCATTTTCCTGCTGAAATGGAATATTACTACCGAAACTGGCATTGTACATCAAGAATAGTCCTAAGAAGACATGATCCCAAGCCAATACTTGGCATGTCCCCTCTCTTCCGGGTCCATCACAAGGACAATGTAAACCAAGATTTGCTTTATCCGGTATCAAACGATGACCGTCATATATTGAAAATGGATATTCTAATAAATCAACCCCCCTTTGCAAACAAACACAGGCCCAAATCTCTCTCTTCTTTTAATAAAAGAAAGTAATAAAGGAACAAGTGAAAATGCTACTGTAATACTCAAAAAAGAGACCATCTAAATATGGGTGAAAATGCAAAATCTCAAAGCAATCCAACAATATAGAATAGAAACCCGGCGATGCCAGAGATGGGAATATAATTCAAGAGTTTGCTGAGGTGCAGCCCAACTAATCCCTGACACTCCAACTGACGGCAAGCTGATGGAAACACTAGTTGGCAATGAAGTAACAAAAAACTTGCCACCAGATTGTTGTTTTACACATGCAACATATACTTGGGAAGATAGCCTTGTATTTCTTTCATCATCACTTTTGGAGCAAATCAGAAGTGTTTTATCCAGATTCGAGTGGCATGAAACAAAAATGACCAGAAAGAAAAATAAGAAGGTAAAGAAAGGAATGGAGAGAGTTTCCATCTTCAACCAGGAACTGAGTTAATAGTTGGAGATGCGCTTGGGACCTTTGGTAACATTCTAGCAAGATACTTAGTGTGGGAGTGACCTTCATAATTGCCCCTTACAAGGGAACACTTGTATCAGAGTATGTCAGATTCTCAAAGGGGGATTGGTGTGCAAGTCTACGTTCTTCAGAGTTATTCAAACAAGGAGCTTACTTTTGTAAGCACCATGTTTTATAAAAGCCCAATAGGAGCAATTTGTTGTGTGAGACACTTTTAAAGTGTTATGTTGGGGACACACAGTGAGGTTCCCTTGGAAAGGGCTCTGGAAGACCAAAGTGTCTTCTATAGTATCTTTGTTTGTCTGGATTGATGCTCTAGACTATATTCTCTAGAAGCTATCTTGACCATTGACATCTTGGAAAGGGGAAAGGTTATTTCATATTGACTTTCCTATGTAAGAGGTCTGAAGAGAATATTTCAAATTGGCATTGCTATGAAAGAGGTCTGAGGATAATACCAATCACCTTCTTCTTCATTGGCGCAGTGTCATGTGATTTCTGGTGCTTATTGTTCTCAGTGTTTGGTGTTGGCTTGGGTGATGCCCTGGACTGTGGAGGAGATGCTTAGTTGTGCTGGAATTTGTGCTAGCAGTAAAGTTTGTTAAACTTAGCAAGCAAATTTTTGTCTAATGAGACCAACGGGCCAGTGGCCTAGCGGTATCAACTATCAAGCCACTACTTCCCAAAGGGAGGTCAAGGTTCAAGTTTCAATGGAGGCATGTGTGTGTGAGTAACCAAGTAAGAAAATATATATATATATTTGTCTAACGAGAAGCGGGCAGTAGAAAGGAATGTACCTGCTTTTGCGAATGTGAAAAATGTGGAATAGTAGGATTAAGAAAGCAACAATAGACAATTATCATTTCTAGATGATTGATAGTTTCTTTGATTCTTTACACTCTTGTTGATTTTTTAGGAAAAACAAGTTGTATAGAAAGGGTCCAGAGCTTGCCTCTTTTATACTCTGCCTGAACATGGGTGGTAATCTCTCTTGTGCTTTTGTACATAATACAAATTTTCACTTTTTGAAAAAAGAGAAGGGGAGAGGGGGAAAAAAAGTGGACAGAAATAATGAGGGAAAGGAAGGTACATTTACTTTCACAATTTTCTTTCTGGCAGCACCCCTTGTATTAACAATATTACTCGTAATATATAACGATGTAATAGCAAAAGAACATCAAGCCACTGGCTCTCTTACTCCCTTTTCCAAAAATTCCTTTCTCACCTACCTTCATTTCCTCTCTGTGTTTTATCCCTCTCAAAACTATTGCTATATAAAAAATAAAAATAAAAAAGGCTTTATAACCCAAGACCGCTTTGTAAAATCATATCCCCATTAATTGAAATGGATCATGGAAGAAAAGTTGGTGTAAAAGGAAGAGCATTACAAGAAAAAAAAAATTCCCAAAGCCAACCTCGAGAATTTAAAAAAGGATTTGGAACTAAAAAACATTCTCAAGACTAGTGGTCCATTTCATAAGAAGGAAGTGAGAAGGAAAAAGACGAATAAAGTATTCTACATTTGGTAGGAACGAACAAAGGAGAGAAGAGATAGGAGGGAAGAAGGGAAGAAAATGAAGGAGATTTACTTTTCATGCATTTTCCTTCAAGCAAAACCATTATTTCAATATATAAGGTTATAACACTATGACAGTAATAACAGACAACCTCCTTCCATTTCCTCATTCTAACCTTCCCAATCAACGAAACAAGAGCAAGGAAAGATCACTAAGTTTCCCAAGCGATTCCTTTTTCAATCCCACTACCATTTCTGGATTTACTTCCCTTGTGCCAAACTAAGCATAGAGTAGTAGCATTAATGCTCATTACCTAGCGTGGTCCTGTTAATTGAGGGGACTGGGAGGAGATTGGATACAGAGTCCCTTTGGTATTATATGCAAAAATGAAAAAGAAAAAGAAATGGCTGCTCTCGGGATTCAAAACCGTATTTTCACTCTTGACATTCCGCGCATTTTACCACTGCACCAGGCAATGGTGACTAGAAGCATTAATGCCACAAACACCCAAATCATCAAAACTAAAATTCCAAGCAAATCCAATTCTAGAATAAACATTGTTGAAAGATATAAAAAGTTGAAGAGAGAAATTAAACACGACGAACACAAGAATATAACGTGGTTCAGCCATTAGGGCTTACATCCACGACATACAAAGCCCAGAGGGCTACATATCTTTATAATACTCTCTTTTAATCTTTCTATACAATTATCACCTCTATTTATAGGTGAAAGAATACAAGTGATAAATATGGAAAATACATTGATGGAAGATTCCTAAAATTAATACCCTAAATAACTCCAATCAAATATTCTATCATAGGCTAAAATCTCTCCTATGAAATTCTCATATCAAATATTCTATCAAGGAGTAATTTAACCTATAATAATATTTTCCAACAAACACTATAGCAAACTAAATGTTAGCTATGTTACCTGGACTTGTCACCTAGCCTAGAGTACCCGTGTTGACACAATGTGAATCGGACATGGATGCGTGACCGCTATTTGTCTAGACTGGTTAAGAAGAAGAAGAAGAAGTGATGCAGAAGAAGACAGAAAAAAAAAAACAAAATCACCAACTTTTCTTGTGATTCAGCTTTGCCAGAGCCAAAAATATAGCTGTAATGTTTTCTCAAAGGTCTTCTTCTGCTACCGGAGTCGTGAAATGTTATCGGAATGCTGCTGGAGGTGCTCCTCTCGGCAGTCGAGATGCTAGGGTTTCGCCCCTCACAATTCGTGGAGGCTGTCAGCACAAGTAAATGATGTACAGAAACCCCTACTTCTATTTGTTATTTTAAAGAACTATAATTATAATTTAACCCCACTTTCTTCATAGAAATACTCATTCTTACAGTTTTCCTATAATTTATTTATTTCAATTGTGCCCTTCCTCTTAATTTACTTCTTTAGTACTTACCAAGAGTTATTTCAAGGACTATCTGAAACTCATGCCATGTCCACATATCCTTAGACACACTCTTTTTCGACACCTGTACCGAAGTCCAAGTAACATAGAATGTAAGCATTGCTCAATCGAAGAGGTAATAAAGATGAGGGAACCACACCACACTCTTAGAAAGAGGAAAGCTCCATCATTACCCCATTGAGAGTGCTACTAGTAAAAAAAAAAAAAAGAACAAAGAGGATAAAACCTTGAACAGAGACCTCTAGATGGGTTAAATCAATCCCTGCCCTAACTACCATACATTAAAAATTCACCAACGAACAGAACCTTAATACAGATCATCCATCTATTTCCAAGGCCTTTTTTTTTTTCCCCCAGAAATCAGTCTACAAGTTCAATTCCACACAATCTCAACTATTCATGAGCATTATCAAACCACTCAATCTCATTTACCAAAAAGAAAAATCTGAAGACGAACGGCTAGTAACATCTTAATGATGATGATTATAGTAACAGTGTTGTTCACAACTGCTCTGAATGGCTGATGTAGGACAAGGGTAGCCTCAAATAGTTGAAATAAAAAAGGAGTTTATTGGCTGGAAATTCAAACAAACAGAGCTATGGTTCAAGATGTTAGTAAAGAGAAAGGATTCAAAACAACAAAAGCCTATTGGCATCACACCAACAGGGTCTAGACATCACACCCTCATATCTTGTGAATCACTCACAAAGAAATTTCGTAACACTTTTTTTTTTAATTCATTCATGGACTGCCTCACCAAGATTACATTCTACCCCTTTTATAACATTATGAGGCAATCAATATTTAACTCTAGGATTACCCCATAATTAAGGTAATCAATACTTACCTAATAGCATAATTAGTAACTAAAAGTTGACCAAATCTCCCAATTATTCAAAACTCCATGTGGACCCATATTATCTAGCCTATGCCAGCTCGA